CTCTCTCTCTCTCTCTCTCTCTCTCTCTCTCTCTCTCTCTCTCTTTAATTCCACATTCTATTTATTGATGATAAAAATTTTCATGTGAAAACCCCAAGTATGATCTGAACATCCAGCCAGCCACCTTTTAAATAGTAAGGTGTTTTTTTGTTTGTTTTTCAAGACAGGGTTAGCTTTGTGCCTTTCCTGGAACTGGCTTTGGAGACCAGGCTGGCCTCGAACTCACAGAGATCCCTGCCTCTGTCTCCCGAGTGCTGGGATTAAAGGCATGCGCCACCACTGCCCGGCCCTGTGTCTCTTTCTTATTGTCTCCTTCTATCTTTCTATCTAATGCTTTCTCATTCCTCTCTCCTCCCCCTAAGAACCCTTCGAAAGGTGGGCGCTGGTCTCCCATGGACTCCCACAAAGTCCCACAAGCTTCCTGCATTATGCCAAGTGCGCAAGGACACCCAGTGAATGGCTGGCTGCAGCCTTTTGGGACGCAGGTGTACCTACCTGGGATGAGAATTGTGTGCAGGGGAATCACCTCCACTCCATGGACTGGGTATCCAAAGGGGAGATTGGGTGGAGCCAGCAGAGGTGGTGGGCGGGGCAGCCCTTTTCTTCGGGAGATAGCAAGAATGAGTCAGTGTACAACAAAACACATTTTAAAAATCACCATCGGCAGCAGCAGCAAGAACAAGTGAAATTATCACTGCACATACATACGATTTAAAATAATAAAAAGTAAATCTTGATGAAAGAATATCTGCATCCCTGACAGACCAGTTATATTTGCCTGCTTCCTGAGGTGGAATATGTCCATGCCAGAAACAAGTATCATAGACTTCAATGCAAGCAGGAATCAAGATTCACGTTCAGTTACAACCAACTAGCGCTGCCTAAGAAGTATTTCTCTAAAACCTCTCGGCTTTTAGTTACTTTTAAAGGGGCTGTCACAAGTGACTCCATCTTATTGGTCTGAGACAGGTCTTACCACGAAGCCTAGGATATCCTTACACTTGTAATCCTCCTGTTCTCGGCTTCCCACATTTTGGGATTACAGGTAAGGACTACCCTGCCCAGCACGTACAAAATCCCCTCTAAGAAAAACCAGCCAGAACTTATTTTAATTCAACCACCCATCTTGGTGTCCATCCTTTGCAACTGAAAGGGAGGGACTGCGGCTGTGGCAGGGCCTTTGCCTAGCACATGCAAGGATCTGGGTTTGATTTCCAGCACCACGGGAAAGAACCGGGGGTGGGGCATGGAGTGCTTGCCTAGCTTATAAGAGGCCCTAGGTTCAGGGTCCAGCACCGTCAAAAGATTAAAAAGTGACCCACTCAGGTTGGAGAGCTGGCTCAGCGGTTAAGAGCACTGGCTGATCTTCCAGAGGTCCTGAGTTCAATTCCCGGCACCCACATGGTGGCTCACAACCATCTACAGTGGGATCGGATGCCCTCTTCTGGTATGTGGTAGACATACAGAGCACTCATAAATAAAAAGTGACACGCTACTCAGACCTGGCAGGTGGTATGTTCCCAGCATAGATAGTCACCTTCTGTGACACCTCAGGGCTGTGCCACCACCATGACTGAGTGAGCGGCGTTGAGCTCTGTTCCTTTTCCTCTACTGATTTTATTGAAAAGTTTTATGTGCACAAAACCCTCCAGATCTCCCTTGGAGGACTCTATTCTCTACTGTCTTCCTCTCTTTATTCCCGATGGTTCCTCCGGGGGAGCGGGGGGCGAAGGAGGGGGAGGTCCAGACTTTTTTCTTAGGGCTCCTCACTCCCTTAAGCGCTTGGAGTGGGTGTTTGTTCTTCCTGGTGACCCCGAGAGCCTCCCCCAGTCCGCATCACCTCCTCTGAAAGTGCTCAAATTCCGCCTGTCTCCTGGCAGTCACAGCTGGGAAGTCATTCTGGCTATAAGCACCCTGAAAATTGTATTTTCTTCGCAGCTGGCCGGAGTCACAGTCGCACTGGTTTTTAGGAAACAGCCTAAAACATACAAGGGACACAGATACACATGGATGGCTGAAGGGGGTGAGGGGACCTCAGCCCTAATCTTGTGTGACACTCACCCTGAAAGTCTCTTTTCCTACGTGGCTCTCCTAATGTGGGGGGTGGAGCGGGGCTCACAGAGACAGCTTGAGGCAAGCAGGAGGGCCGGTGAGGGGAAGGACTGAAGAGACTCCTCCCTTTTCTTCCTTTTCCCTTCCCCCTTAGAGACTTGTCTATGTGGCACAGACTGGCCTCTAACCCATGGCACACACCCTACCTCAGTCTTCTGAGTGTACCGCCATGCCTAAGAGCCCTCTCTTGAACTATCCCCTCCACCTAGCTTCTTTAAACCCAAGAGCCATGGGCACTTCAGGTGGCAGGAAGTCCCAGTAGGGCAGATGCCAAGAGGCGACATCTTCCCCCTGAGGTTATATGGTTTCTGGGTGCTGAAGAGGACAGAGACTGCGTCCCACAGACCACGCCTGGTCTCTGAGAGTCACTTTAGTCATCAGTACCTGTTCAGAACTGCCCATAAGGCCTAGGCCCCCAGGGAGACGCAGGGAAGAGACCCAGAGTCTCACCAGATGCCTTCGTAGGTAAAGAGGTTCCTCAGGTACTCCTCAGGTAGAAGCTTCATCACTGAGCCACCCGGCTCAGGCTTCGGGAACTCTGGCTTGAAGCTGCTGAGCACTGCTTGAAAGGGCACATTTCTGGATATAAATAGAAGAACCACAAGTCCTAGGATCATGAGTGAGATCTTGAGGAGCCACAGAAATCTGGAGCTGGCAGAACACACAGAGAAAAAGCAAAATGCATTAAAAATGTTTGACCTCAAGGAGCTGGGACGACAGCTTAGTCAGAGACGCTGCACACGAGGACCTGAGCTCAGTCTCTGGCACCCACATAAAAAGCTGGGTACGGACTGGGAGAGAGCTCCGTGGGTAAAAGAAGACTTGATTTCCAGAACCCACAGTGGGAGGACCAGACCAGCTCCCACAAACTGTCCTCTGACATCCACACCTGAGCCATGGCATTTGTACATATACATTCACATGCACATTCAATAATGATCATTTAATTTGTTTTGTTTGAGACAGGGTCTCATCATATAACCCTGGCTGGCCCGGAGTTAACTGTGTAGATCATTCTGGCCTTGAATTCGTAGAGATCTGCCTGCCTCTGTCTCTCATGCTGGGAACTAAAGGGGTGTGCCACCTTGGTACGTATGGTGGTATTTTATTTGTACTGAAATGTTATTTTAATTTTATGTTAATAAATAAAGTTGCCCTGGGGTCAGAGCTATTAGAGCCATAGCAAGAGCGTGGTGGTTAGAAGAGCTAGGTAGATTTCTGTGTGTTCAGGGATACAGCCAGTATTGGAGACATACGCCTTTAAGACCTGGAGGGCGGTACTTACAGGCAGTGATGAGGCAGTCATGTGGTTGGGTTTACAACCAATGAGAAGGCAGAACAGAAAGACTATTTAAAGACAGACAAACAGGAAGAAGTTCTCTCTCGGGGAAGCTAGGAGCACTGCAGGAGGTAAGATTTTATCTCTGAGCTCAGACCTCTCGGCTTTCTTTTTTACATTGGCTCTGTGTTTCTTATTTTAATAAGACGATTGGTTACATCTACAGGTACGCGCTTGCAGCCCCAAGATAATCAGGACAACAATGGAGGGTCTTGGGGCCTCACTGGCCAGCCGGTCTCCCCTAATGGTGAGCTCCAGGCCAGTGAGAGGCTCTCTGAAAGAAGGTGAAAGGGATTTCTAAGGACAACTCAGAAAGAGAGAAGGAAGGAGTAACAAAGGACTTGGGAAAATTAAGGGATGGGCAAAATAATCTCAAAATTGGGGGTGCACAGAAGCTCACGTATTAACCACTTTTGTGTCAAGTCGATTAAACGATTTGCAGAAAGCATCTGAAGTGGGCTCTCTTGGCCCCACGGTTTCAGAAGTTCAGCCAGTCGTTGCAGAGGCAGCCCCAAGGAGGTTCCTCACACCACAGCCAACAGGAAGTTGGGGAAGGGGAGATCTAGAACTCTGCGTTTGTCTTTTTATTTATTTATTTTTTTACTTCTTACCCCAGGCCCAAAGGACAGTACCACCTACATCAGAGTATGTCTTTGTTTGTGCTGGGACCCTCTTCCTAGGGAGACTAGAGCAAACACCTGATCACTCTAAATAGAGACTAACAGAAGACCAGCATAATGATCACACCAAAGTCCAACCTGGCGAATCAACGACTTTATCGGGAAAATGAGTGAGAGGTTTCTCACAGGAGAAGAGACAACCCAAAGGCAGCTGTATCACCAAAGAGTGGCCCCCAACATGGGTCATAACTCATGAAAGTTGTAACCCTGGAGCTCTCTGCAGAACTTGAAGGCAGCTCTCCAGGTTTGAGCGTCTCCTCCAGCAGCTCCGACGCTGTTGGAAAAGCCCTTCCCCCAGCAGCTGCTCGCTGCCTTCATAGTCTTAGGAGGGCCCTGAATATCTTGTGGGGTTTTTTTTGGGAGCGGTAATCAAAACAATCTCACAGCATTTATTGTCACCTGATAATAACATAAGGGCCACTAAAACAATATGAACAAATGTTTCGGACTGTGCTCCCAACAGAAGACGCCTTCACTGTACTTCCGCTTCAACTTCTCAATGCTTGCCAGTTTCTAGTTGGAAACACCTGGAGCAGAGTAATATTGTCTCCTTTCAGCACGATCCCACCCAGATGTCTCCTGGACTCTGTTGTAGAGTGAATTTCTTCTGCATCATCTAATACGAGGTCCATGGACTCATCAATGCCAATAATACAACCCTCTATCCGCATATTCACTTGCTCATACGGCCAGACCTGAATCCGAGACCTATTTGGCAAGTATCTGAAGATGGGGTTGATGAGCTACACCATCCCCTTCTGCACCTTCTGGCCCTGGCCACGGTACGCCACGGTGGGAGTGAGTAGGAAGGCGCCTCAGAAAGCCATCTTGTTCCGTGTGTTTGGTTGGTTGTTTGTTTTTGTTTTTTAGGAACTTTTGAGACTTGAATTGTTTATTTTTTGAGTGCGCCGCCCACCTTTCTGGAGCGGATGTTTTAACTCAGAACTTCCTGAGCCTTAAGGAGTCTCCTGTTTAATCTTCTCTGGAAATAGCTTCACCAACTATCTCAGTTAGGACTCTGTGTGTGTGTGTGTGTGTGTGTGTGTGTGTGTGTGTGTGTGTGTGTGTGTTTTTAAGACAGGGTTTCTCTGT